AAATTCGTGCGAAGCTATGCAGATTAGGCTGGGTTCCTACTGATCCGTACAGTTCTAGCACAGCTCACAGTTTGAGCTCTATGTCGGAAGAACTTATGGATTAGTATGAACGCAGCCTTACAAGGGAAGGATGGTCAGTCGAAGTGGCTTTGCGATGACTTCTAAAGTGCGGTTCATAATCATACGAACACCCCAAATTTTGTAATTTTTCGGACTTTTGGGAGAAAGTCAAAAAGCCGTTAGTATCATGAGTGTTTATGCTCCTAATGCGAATTTTTGGCGGTTCATAATTATACGGACACCTCAAAAAAAGGTCCATTTTTCATTCAAGATTGCAATCATTTGAGTCCAAATTTTTTGTAGAGTTACAGTAACAAAGTCTGACATATCTGCTACACACTGAACCCAGTGCAGTTTAAAAAGAGGACCGTTACTTTTTTTCGGAAGGCTCTAAATGCTTTTGGAGTGATTGCGCTCGAAAAACATCCGTTCTTCTGTGATTTACGCGCTCTAATTAGCTTCTACCAAAGCTATGAAATGAAATAAGCTCTTTCAATAGGTATTTTGTTTGACGCCTGGAAAATCTTTGCGTTTTCGTGCCGTTTTCCAACCAAGTTCCAACCTTACCCCAGAGTTAGCACGATTTCGAGCCTCAAAACTCAGCTTCTCTCTTGCACAAACATTTTATATGAAGCAGCTGCATTGTTTGCATGATGATGTTCCTCCAAAGTTTTTGGGTTTTTTGTAGAGCGGGTCTTGAGGCTGTGGAGCTACAAACCAAATAAAGGTGCAATAGCAAAAACAGTGTTTTTGGTGAAACGACGTCTGCGTGGCCAAAACAAACGCTCAACGCTGCTGATTTTTTACTAATCAATTATACAGTCTTGTAAACTTCTACATACTATATGCCTACTTCATCATACTATATGCTTACTTCATTGTACGGCTTCAGAAGCTGAGTTTTGAGGCTGAAATCGTGCTAACTCTGTGGTAAGGTTGGAATTTGGTTGGAAAACGGCACGAAAACGCAAAGATTTTCCATGCGTCAAACAAAATATCTATCGAAAGAGCTTATTTTATCTCATAACCTTGATACAAGCTAATTAGAGTGCGTAAACCACAAAAGAACGTATGTTTTTGGAGCGCAATCACTCTAAAAGCATTTAATGCCTTCTGAAAAAAAAGTAACGGTCCTCTTTTTGAACTGTGGGTTCAGTGTGTAGCAGATATGTCATACTTTGTTGCTGTAACTCTACAAAAAATTTGGACTCAAATGATTGCAACTTGAATGAAAAATGGAACTTTGTTTGAGGTGTTCGCATAATTATGAACCTCTAAAAATTCGTATTAGGCGCAAAAACACTCCTAAGATTGACATTAATTTCCATTCTTATGGATCATATACCGTTTTCGGCTGTGGTCTATCGCATGGTACTAACGGCTTTTTGACTTTCTCCCAAAAAGTCCGAAGACTTACAAAATTTTGGGCGTTCGTATAATTATGAACCGCACTTACCATGTTGGAGGGCATAAAACGCTGATTCCAAATCTGTCTTCCTTATCTGCGGTGCGTTCCTGCTTGAGAAGTTATGAGTTTTATTGAAGAAAAATTGAGTGTGCAAATAATATGAAAACAGTAGTAACATTATTCCTAACGCTTGAATGGACCATTGGTAGTCTTTTCAGCGCTCCATAAATAAACACTCTTAGGTGAGAAATACCGAACTCTGGCTGTCTCATTAACGCTGGGAAAATTTTAGCAACTGTTTCTATCCCAAAAAAGCGTTTATTTTTTTTGCTCCCTTAAGAGCTCATAACTCCTCGTCCAGAAACGCGCCGCAGATAAGGAAGACAGATTTGGAATCAGCGTTTTATGCCCTCCACCATGGTGCCCGAGCTATCTCAAAAGACCGCTTCGACCAACCATCCCTCCCTTGTTAGAGAGAAGAATAGTGTGCTGTTTCAGGAAAGACAGCTGCCAACATCTCGTAGTTCCAGTAGCATGTTACAGGTGCCGGTATCGTATGTAAATTTTTGTAGTGCAAAATCACGCAATGTCGCAGCATCGATCTACCAAAACATCCCGAGACTTTCACTCGAAATGTTCACTTCTGTCCTTTTTTTGATTGATTTCTTGTTTTATTCAAAAAAAAAACTATTTACTATAGCTCCCCCCCCAAACAATATCATTCCGCATCTTGCTCAAAATCTAGTTCTGAACGTCTCTGCGGTTGCAAACGATGATCAGCTGTCCTATGTTCAAAGTGCCACGAATCTGCACTGATCGTGTTGAAGCACAGCTCAGCACTCTTAGACAGCATTCTCATATCATTACTTGTTCCGAGGATCTTAGGCTCGCCGCTTCTTCTCCTGGAGCCCCCTGTGAGGGGGGGGGGAGGGGAGGGAATCACTGCTCACTCCACTCCACCTCGCGTATTCTACGCTAGTTCCATTCTAAACCACTCACTTTATTTTGCGGCAAATCACCTTGGTTGCCATTGATTGGAATAATCAGCGCTTGCAGCATCTTGTCAATAAATTCAAACAATGAAACATTCAAGAACGGCCGGTAAAATGAGCACATTAACAAGACGTACTCATTGGGCTATGGAAAATGTGGCAAGGTATGTACTTTGACGTGGCCACTGACAATGTATGAGGTTGAAATAGCGGCACGAAGAGCTAAAGAGCTGATTATTTCTCTTAAGAGGGCCGTATTTGTGAAGCTTTCTGAATATATCCCTAGCAAAGAATATACAGATGCAAAGATTCAAATGTGTACTCATCGTTTTTTTTCTCAAGAAGCGAAGATGTATAGAAAAGAGAAAATAGAAAAAACTTTGCACATAAAGGAAGGGTCATCGCTCCTCGAAGAGCTCATGTTTTCCAAATATAACTATGCACTTTACGTAATGCTTCGTCTTGAAGATCTTCCAGGTATACCGAAATCACTGTTTTCTTGTTTCTTGAAAGTGTTGCACAATTCGGAAGGCTCCGGTACTCGCAAAGAGCTGAGAAGCGAAACCAGTGTGCGTGAAAACCATGTTTACACAGCTTCTCAAGTTTTTTTGGAAATTCTTAAAGCGGCAGTAGATTCACGGGCGAGTAGTTATTACCAGGGTAGAGCAAGAGGTGTGGCACTGAACGGCCGAATACGACCCCCCCCCCCCCCCTGAGTGGCCTCGAAAACGACCCCCCTCCAATACCAGGGTTGCATTTTCGAAAGATTCACGCTGCTAAGCAAAAAGCCTCTGTAGTACTGTCTTCGAGAAATATAACTGAAGTTTCGTGAGTCTAAAAAAAGTTGAAGAACTCGCTTTTCTCCATATAACAAGTAAAGACAAGGTCCAGACTATACATGCTGAGCATGCTGATCACCCCCGCCGGGGGTGATCAGCATGCTCGATTACCCCCCTGTGCCAACTCCCAGCCCCGTAGCTCAAATTTTGCAAAAAATCGATAAAATCGATATCGATCGATGACGAAAAGTAGCCTATGACACCCGCCGGGGCCCGAAGTGTATGTGTGCCAAGTTTGGTCCCGATCGGTTCAGAAATGGAATTTTCTATTCGGAACATACGTACATACAGACATACAGACAGACAGACAGACAGACAGACAGACAGACAGACAGACAGACAAACAGACATTCAGCTTTATATACAGGGTGTCCCAAAATAGTGTGCACACTGTTTGATTTTGAATAACTCTCTTATTATGAGGTCTTTCGAGAAACGGTAAGCACCTTTTTGTAGAGCTGGCTTCAGCTTAGATTTACAGTATGGAGGGAATCACCGACCGCTCTTCATTACTGTAGGATTACGGTAGAAAGTTGAAAGAGGGTTTTGGGCCATGAAAGGCCGTATTTTGCCTCAGAAAGGAATCAAAACAGCCTGAAAATTTTACACTAGGCCAATTAGAGTTGCTGATTCTAACTGTAAAGTTCCCAATTTATTATGATGCTTCACTGAAGAGTTATGCGAGGTAAGCGGTGGCGGCCATTTTCTCAATATTCCTAAGAAGTGCGGTTACACCGTTTAGAAAGCTTCGCAATCTTGTGAATAGTTGAGTATTGAACTCAGCGTCCATAAAAACCTTATTAGACAAGTTTTCACATTTTTTTGAAAAATTTTGAAACGGCAGCTTTTTCCACATTGACACCATAGAAGACCTCACAATAAGAGAGTTATTCAAAATCAAACAGTGTGCACATTATTTTGGGACACCCTGTATAAGAGTATAAGTTAATGGGGTGCGGCACCCCCCCCCTAAAAGCTGCGGCAGCAGCAGCTTTTGAGGGGGGTGCACCCCATTAACTATATCAAAAAAAACAATTTTAGCGGACAATATTTATATGAATCGATAGTTTAAACCTTGTAGATTCCATGGGACTGTTTTGAGCCTGATTCGTCTTCTTAGCTCCAAATAATATTTGGTGAAACACAGCGATCAAAAGCGAAAAATGGGATAAACGAGATTTTGGTTGGCTTCTAATTCCACAGTTTGGAGGTCTTCTGAAGCAGGATTCCTGAGGTGGACAAAGAAGGAGTAGTGCTTTGTCTTGAGTGCAAAAACGGATGGCTAAATCACCTTTGAAACAAAGTTAACCATGTTGGAATTTGACCATTTCACTTAGGTAGCCTAGTATTTTGAACCTTCAGAAATCGCTCACACTTTGTCTATAAGGGTTATTTGACATGCTAATTATGGATAGGATACGAATATCATGTTATCACTATGATCAGATTACCCAATTACGACCCCCTCCCCTTTTGATCCTCAATACGACCCCCGGTGTGGCGTGCCGCACCCCACGCTTGACCCTGGTTATTACCCTCTTTGTAGGTCTTATTTTGAAGCCAGCTCTATGGATGGTCGCGAAAGACTAACCCATTTTTTTGAGACGACATTACGTTTCTGACGATCAACGATTTATACAAAATTACTATTCCAGTTCTAATACCTACAACTTTGTACATGAAATGGACAACAAAAAAAGCTTGATATCATTTGTACCCTGATATTCTTACAAACATGTAGTCGACATTTGGTTGCGTTAACTAATCCACTAGGCTATAAACAGTTGAGATCACGTGAGCATAGTCTCCTTCTGCTCATTCAAAACTAGATTATTGCTCGGTGTGTCCTTAGTTCGAATGAGGAATGAAAGGCAGACTGGGATGATCACTATGCCATGGAATAAACCAAGCAACGACACGAGACATACGGTTTTTGCAAATGCTACGATGATGTAGACGGGAACAAAAAACAATGGAAACATGCATATCAATGTCGATAGAGATGCCTGCAAAGAAAATTTCATTGCAACGTATTGATTTTATTGAGTGTGACAGATAGTTGTTGTAGGTAGGTGCAAAAAAGTGAGCGTTCCTTATGCTTTACAGCGGTATAAATATCAAAAATGCATGTAGCATATCACTCCACAGAGCAAAGAAGCTCAAACAAAAAAACAACCACCAAATTGCCTCACAATCAGAGATCGTGATCCACCTCATATTAAAAGCGAAAACCAAAAAGCAACTAATAACCATAAAAAAAGTCGGATTTTACCGAAAAGAATCTTGCAAGCCTCCCCAATTATCACATAGTTAAATACATGACTGCAATTGTTTTTTTTCGATTTTAGAAGAGAAAAAACAGAAATAAGCAAAAAAAGGAAAATGGCTTTTTTCTGCTCCTAACCCATTTCTTTTGTATTTTTTGCGCTGAATATGGCACTTTCCGATGACATAAAAAGATAGGCTAGCGGTTCTAATACTGAAAGTTTGTAGAGTACAACTGGTATTTATTTAGTGGGCGCCACCTGCCTAGTCACCTCGTGTAACTGCACACAAACACACTGACATCTCATTCGGTAACGCCAAGATGTTCTTTTTGGATCTTCTGAGTGTTTTCTGCTGAAAATTCTGGTTGGCTAATTTTCATTTGAGTAACACTTGAAGGCAGTGTCCAGCCTAAATCTAACCCTCCCTCTCCAATTAGGGTCGCTGAATGTAGGCCCCACGGGAGGGGCATTTGCGTTGGTTCTGTCCTCTATATTGTTTCAGAATGGAGATAAAGGGTCTGGAAAAACCAAAGTGCTATCAGGCCCCGCCCAGATCCTATCAGACTCCGCCCACCCATGTACTGAAAGCCGCCCGCGCCCTCAGGAATCGGATTTTTTGGGAGTTTTGGACTATTTGAACTTCATGACTGTAATCAGGGCCACGGAAAGGCCCCAGAATGGCAAAAACATGGGAGGCAGAATTATGAGCGGACGCTGCCTCCAACGAAATCATTACTCGTCGCTTTTGTGGAGCGCGCGCCGCGGTAAGGTGACTAGATAAATGACGCTGTGAAAACAGCGCGCGATTATTTTGCCATGTTTCGGCCATTATTCTTCCTCAATTTGCAGCCGTCAAATAATTACAGTGGATGCACATGAAGTGGTTGTGTGCGTATATTACATGCAGATCAAGTAGGAAATTTTTAGAATTTTTTGGGCTAAAATCGAGCTTTTGAGGCGCAGCATGTTTTTAGATCTTGGCTTCAAGCTCAAGCGGATTACGTTTTGCGTAGAGCGTGCTTTGCTCTATCAATCCATTCGTACTGCTGCTGTAGCAGAGGAAACGCTCATCACTTTTGCATCAACTCAGTGCAATAACCTACAAACCATTGAATCAAACACACCTCAGCCATTGGTCTTCCCACAGCTCGTAATATTTTCGTTATTCTTTCGTTCGCCTTTAACAGGAGACCGTCTCTTTGTCCAAGATGGTAATGGTAACAAACATGTGCACTAAAATGAACACTCATTAAAATGCCGTTGTTGCCATTGCCCAAATTTTATGCCTAAGCCGTTCATGTAAGTAGGTGCTTACTTTCTGGAAACTTGTTTCATAGAGACTTCACCGAAGCTCATGGTTGAGACACATAGAAAGTGATAACATTGAACTCACCTGAAATCAACACTCAGTCCAATGGCCATCAAGACGTTGATCATGGTGACTGGATCGAGACTCTGACCCCATAAAGCCAGGATTCCCAACAAAGCTAAAACCACCTCGTATTAGGTGGAAGGAGAAGATTTTTGAGTACATAATGAGTTTAAGGCTTACTAAACGATATGGACAACATCGATAGCGTAGCTATGGAAGCGCCCGTCAAACTAGGTATCATGAAAGCACATGCAAGTGTCATGCAGGCAAAAGTGATTAGAACGGCCTTGATAAGTTCATCCTGCAAAAAAACGCTAAATCGAGAAAAGGCTTTGGTTGCTTTTTTTTAAACAAATTATTGAGGGATTTTTTTAAACACTGACCTTAACGGCGATTATGAGATCGTATATTGTACTATCGTAGTCAAAAAGACTAGTTTGGAACTGTGGATATTCATCTATAATCTTCCTCATATGGTCGATTTTTTTAGCTCTTAGATTCCAGTCCAGATCTCCTAAATGAAACAGTTAAAGACAGATATTGCACCCTTTGATTCAACAGGGTTGACAACTGGAAGGCGGGGCCGAGGCCTGATCAAGGCAAGGTAATGATCAGAGAGGGCGCATGCGAGAGAGATGCAGAGTGCGTCGCGGGTGCGAGCGGTCGCCTTACACCCGTCAATCCAGTTGAATCAAAGGGTAGATATTTTCTATGATTTTTTCTAGCATAGTCAAGCACTATAAATGCATAGCGAAAGATATTTTTTCGTCATTTTTTCGGGCCAAAAACTTTGTTCCCTGAGAAAACGTGGGTGGCTTCTCTTGACTTATTCTTTTCGAAACGTGAGTTAAATTATAAATCAAAGCTTAACTTACCACGACATTGACGATGTAGTTCATCAAGGCTGAGTCTACCGTACCGCTAAAAATAAGCGATTATCTCAGTTTATGAGGAAACAACAGCTTACTTGGTCATATTGTACTGCACAATATTCACATCCTTGATTTTTCTCACACTAAGGTATGCCGGTAGATCATCAAGTGTAAGGGTTTCATTGTTCGCTTCTCCCCACTATAAATACCTCCATTTAACGTAAATTTTTTCAGTCAAAAGTAGGCTGCCAAACCTCGAGAAAATCTCTAAGTAAAACTTGTGTGCGTTCAGGACCATAACAACCATCGCTGTGTTCGAGTCGGCCTATCATTTCGAGAAAAGAGGATAGCTCTTGAGGTTTGGATACATTCGGCATAGCGCTGATGAAATTGATTGGCGAATACTGTAAAATAAGTGAAAACTAGATCGTAGTCGTATAAAATCGTAATTTTGCAAAAAAATCATTTTTGTACTCCATTTGATATGAACGAACCTCACTTTGCACTCGTTCAAAGTTTCTCAACGAGATAAGCAGGTCCGAATCGTAAGGGAACGTTTTTGATGGGTCAAAGGATGGATTCATATCGCTAAGGCCAATATATGCGCAAACATATAATATTGCCGTGATTAGAATAACAGAAACTCGTCCAACACTCGATGTCAGAACTTTTGTGAATTTCCTCCAGGTAACTCGTCTGAAAGTCGAATAGTGAGATCTGCAGTTCTTATAAGATTTTCCCCAGTTTTTTTTCGCAAACCTCTTCTTCTTCTCTTTGGCTGGCTTATGGTCCTTTGCTTGGTAGAACATCACAATAAACGGTGCGAAAATCAAAAATTCAAAAACAAAGTCGAGAAAAATAGCAAAACAAGTACAGAGGCAAAACCCGCTCATCTAAAACTCCAAAATGAAATTAAAAACCAGTTTTCTAAAGTGTTTACAATTACCTGTGGGGTCGGAGAAAACACACCCACACCAAAGGCTACGGTATTGGTAGCTGAGGTGATGGCCATAGAAGGGCCTATTTGCTGAACAACAATACGCATCCGTTCCTTAACCGGATGCTTACCGTACCTCCGCCAAGCATGAAGAAGTAGGAAGGCGTCATCAACACCTGTAAAGTCATCATACAGACATACAGAGCGAATTTTGAAATCAAATTTGATCTACCTATTCCCATGACCAAAAAAGGTGTGATACACATGATGGAATTAAAAGGAAAACCTATCCAACCAAGAATTGCAAAACAAGTTGCCGTTGCGATGGCTGGTGACCCGACAGCAGCCAAGATCAAAATTATCTGTAATTGGTTTATATTACTATTGTAAAATTTTCAAGAAAACTGATCCTCACCTGAGATCTTAAAATGAGATGATTGAAAGCAAATGCCATAAAAGCTACCATTAAAATTACACCAACGACGAAAAGATTTACAGTGTAAACTGTTCCACGAAGCATTTCAGCGTTAGCAACCTGTAAGATTAAAAATATATATGACATTGTAAGACATTTTATCAATTTTTTTTCAGTATTTTCAATAATTTATGTGGCTTGATTTACAGATCTTGTGTGAAATAATTGTTTAAAAATGTCGAAGTTGCGAATACTACGGAGGTTTTATCAATAATCAATTTTTGGCTTGCAGCGGTGGGAAACTCTGAAAAGAAAATAGAAAACAAGGAAAAATATTAAATACGACTATATGCTAGACAAATAATCTAATTTTTTTGTTTCGGTTGTTCTTATCATAATTATATAAAAGCGAACCATCCGAAGATGGATCGCGAAATTTTTAGAATTTACAGCTATAAAGTGTGCCAGTTTGTTTTTGCTTGTCAGTAATTAAACACTTTATGAAATATGCTAAATTCAAATTAATTTTATGCCGCCACTTTCAGATTCGGGGACCACTAAAATTTTGAGAAGAAATCCAGAAATTTTGGAGGGCGAGACTCATGTCGCTGCCTGCCCTCCCTCCCCTCCCCGAGCAAAATTTCATAGACCAACATGTAGTGAGAAGATACAAACAAAGACTGAGCTTACCTGATCCCCGTACATTTCGAAACTAATCAGATCGCTAAAATTGTCTAGACGACTCAATCTGAATAGTTCCAACTGCAGAGCTTGCAACCGCTTTCGTTCTCTCATATTTGGCGTCTGGTTCATGTACCAAAGTGTCACAAATTCCATTTTTTCGATTGGACCTCGCTAAATCAAATTCAAAATTAGGCAGATTTATCAGTGAACAAACTTACGAAAGAATCCTTGTGTTTGTTCACGCCAAAAAAGTGACTGCCAATAAAGAATTTGTGTCCCATGGCCGTTCCCACGGGATATGTCAAATTTATATCCGCAAAAAAATCTGACCATGAATACGCGTACTGAAATTTGTTCTCTCAATTTCTCAGAATTTTTCAGCCTTTCAAATCAGTTGACAACTTACTTTATACCAGTTGAATACATAATTTATTTCGATACCATGTAGATCATCATAGTGAATCACAGTATCGTCGACGACAACACTAACGTTATGTACATATTTGTCCAATCTTTCCACCTTAAGTGCCGATAAAAAAAAATTTTGTGCGATATGACTGCCACTAAAAAATGAAAAACTATGTGAGAATAATTACCTCGTTGAGAAGTTCCATAGACATATTCATGTACTTTCGACCCGTTGATCTCTTTTCTGTCACAAGTACAGCCCATATCTCAAGACCTTCGTAAGTGATATTGTAAAAATCCGCAAATCTCTGCAAACACAGAAACTCTCATAGTAGGACAGAAAATAATTTATGGACAATTCAAAACATTAATTTATTTAGTCATTTCGTGCGCATCTTCGAGAAACTCGCTTATTTTCGCAGATTAATACGCGATTTTATCGCTTTTCATGATATCTTATATCAACGATTAAGGTTCACTTAACTGATCAAGCTAAATTCGGTATTTCTCAAGAATTAGTGCTTCCAAGAAGGTGAAAATTAGAGCTTGCTTTGCTGTATCGAACGGCACCCTGCATTCTAATCAGAATTGAGAAGTATGTGACTTATTGCGGGAAAAACCAAATGAAAAAACTTATGAGACAACCGTTAAACTTAGCGCAAGTTTACATTTTGCCCCAGTCAAGTTTGAAGACGTCATGTCAAGTTTGCCCTAATCACATTATCAATCTTTTGATTACGTGTGATCTTCAATTGGTTTGGTAAGGTGTAGTAATAAAAAGCAACAGTCAGCTGATTGTCATAACAGCGTAATAAAAAAAATGAACTTCAATTCGTCATTTGCTTTACACACCTTCCTTTCAAAAATATTTTTTAGAATGTAAACAAATTGTTCCAACTCTACTCTCTTTCAGCTTCTATTCAAACTCGTAGACAACAATGAAGAAATAAAATTTAGAGCGGAAATTTTGATTTCGTAAAAAGAAGGCGTTTTCAAATTTCTTGCAAAGAAAACCTAGCATGAGAGAGCGAATGAACTGGAGAGCCCTTAGTGCTTAAAAAATAATGGAAAGTTGCAAGGTTGTCGGATGCGTTTCGTCTTTGAAAGGATACTGGAAGCTTTTTTCAGAGAAAGAGCGAAATTATCTGGCACAAGGGGAGAAGCATGAGATTAAAAACCGAAGAAAAGGAGAACATAAACTTTCTCTTCTTCCACCTTAAACTCTTGCTCAGATCTTCCACCTTTCTCAGCAAAGCCTCTTCGCACATCTGATTCAATTTCGACGGGGTATAGGAGAAAGAAGCTGAATATTTTGGCTCATCTTTTTGTTTCGATGTAAATTTTATTATTTTTTGAGTCAGAAAGTCTAGGTTTGCTGCAGCAGGCCTAATCTACAGTCTAGACTGTGGTCACATACGATTTTTACAACCATGACGTAGGAGGAGACCTAATGTGAAAACGTAACGCCTGAAATTACTAGTTGTATATCGCAAATAAATGGCGCAAACAGCAATTCACCTGTACAAGTATCAGCTGCGAATCTCCACTACATATGCCATTCAAATTATTACTCGATACATCACAAACTGTAAGACCACGCAGATAATTTCTAAATTATTTGGTCTCTATTGCCTCAACTATCAGCTCATTTTGTTTTGATTTATGTGAATGGGAACACTCAAAAATCGGATACTTGGTGACCTTGGCTTTTCACACATGTGCTGTACAGTACGCTTTCTTGAAATGCTTCTTGTCTATGCACAACATCTGGTGCGCGACCTTCGAACTAATCAAAAGCCTTTCTTTTGGGAATGGTTATGCAAGGTTGAAGTGCAACTATAAATTATTCAGTATTTATTTTTTGAGCTCGCGAGAACCTAAGACAATCAGTTTGAGCCTAGCATGAAGCTAATGTTGAATGGATGCTGTTTTGAAGTTTGTAACTAACAATGTATCAACATCCGTGTTCTCTATTACTTGAGGAAGTGCAAGCTTATTTGGCAGAAACCCCCACAATTTTCTCCAAAGACTAAACAGCAGAAATGGAGGGCAAATCTGGAATAGCTTCTATGCAGTTTATAATTTACAAATTAGCAAAAAGCCACGTTACCAGGTGTATTTTCCTTTTTAGTTTACTCCACAGATTGCTGAGCGTGCCTTCCCGAACTAGGAGGAAAACAACTACGCTTATATTAGAGGCAGTGGCTCGGCAAATCCTCGACCTGAAGTTTTTTCGCTTACCTGGAGTAATTTCGCGCTGATTTCGGAAATACACTTTGTAGAGCACGAAAATTCCGAAAACCAGCATTTTCCAGGGATTCTTGTTTTGAATTCGGACGAGTGGACCATTCCCCGCCATGGTTAGAGACGTAGAGTCATTGATCCTCATGTATATAGCATTGCAGCCTGCCGCCTTTGACGGTGGGAGGGGGACCGCAAGCTCGTCCGAGTGCGTGTAAGAATGATTTGCACGCAGGGGTTTAGAGGCAGTTTCCTAGGCAGAGACAGCATGTAATGCGGAAGCTCGGATGCTCTTTTCTGATGTTTGGGATGCGGGCAACTTTCCATATCAAAATTTTTCGGGATGTTTGGTTTTGCCGAAGCACTGCCTTTAAGGGTCTGCGTGAAGTTAGGACCCAATAAATATTCTAACGAACCGTTTTAATTAGACCTCCCGTTGTCGAATCTGTAGCAGTGTTGTACATGAGCACCTGAACAATCTTTTGTGAGCATGTGTGTATTAGCATTGTAAAATAAACACGCTCAGACTTCGTACGCTTCCAGTACACAGATTAAGGCCCCTTTTTGAAGAGAATGTTGAACTATCGCATGTAATCACGTACAGCTTCAGAAACTGATTCTTCTAGCAATAACTTCAGAATTCTCCCAACTCCTCTCAAGATTTGAGCACTAATGTTTATTACTAGCCTGTATCGTCTTGACTTCTGCATTGTTTCTAAGTTACTCTGCACTTTTTTCTGCACAAAGGAGCATGTATGGAGCCAGGAGCTTCAAAGAAAATGTTCATTTTACTCCAGATAATTTGAAAAGCAGTGACTATTGCCAAGATACTCATATATTTCCAATTAAGAATATTTTTGTGCTACTGCATCACTCGACGTTATTGACGCCTATCACATGACATTTGCATAAAAATGTGTTAAGATGAAGAATGTTAGCATGTGTTTGGTGCTCAGAGAGATTCCTACAAATCCCACATTTCTCTCAATTGGTACTGTCAAAGCTATCAGTTCCTGCCTATCAGTCATAGCCACTGTCTTGATAGGATTTCGCTTTTATCAATTCACAGCGTTTCATTGGAACGTGCAGGTAATACAAACCTTAGCAACTTGAGCCAGAATTTGAAAATTATTTCCCCTATCGCAAGCTCCATTATATACACCCATCTCGCTTTACAGATCCTCATTTATCTACTGTTTGCTTACGGTATCATCTACAACTTGATTACCGTAGCCATATATGTAAGTTTCTAATTTGCGTCTTCTTTGATTTGTGATGCTATAGGAAAACGCAATAATTGATATGCTAACGAAGTAAGTCAACAAGGAAAAACAAGGGGCGAAGATGCTATTTTTCTATTTTGGCGAAGTCACCTTACTTTGTGGCAAATCATTTACATTCTAGGCTTTGTACATCTATAATCTTATTGACGAAAAATCTCCTTGTTCGCTTATCTACTATGCAGCGGAATGTTCTTGGCTTAATATCCCGCTGATCACGTGCATCATCGGTTTCATCTTGATACAGGTGATTTTTTTTGATTAACCTAAGAACTTGGTTTGTTCCGACATTCGCTCCAGTTCGTTTCTCCTCCAAAACAAGCAAATGATCCAGGCTAAGACGACAACAATGAATTTTACACTTGGAAACAAAAATGACTGTTGCGTCGCAGAATTGATACAATCATCTGCAACAAACAAGGTTACTCTCCCTCGTGAATAAATGCACATCAGCTAAAGTTTTTTCGGGTTTTTGATTATGAAGACGCAGAATGGAACTGCTACGTCTCGAAAGTGGGCGCATTGCATGAAGTCACTTATTGGTCTGCAAATCAAAATCTATACCAAAAATTTGCGCAATCAAACCTACAGCAATCAGCTTGAGCGGCCATTAAAGACACTCCTGTACATATATTCTAGGCTGCCTTTACTGTGGAAAGACTCATAGCAACATATCGACTTGGAAATTATGAGCGAAGAGGCAAATATGTGGGGCCCGTTATGGCTGTTGTGGTGGTTAGCTTCAAAAGCCAATTTGGGACGTTATTCGATAGTATTACAATTCAGGCGCTATTATCGGCAGTATGCGCGAGATGGGGACTCGGTTCTACGGATCCCAATGAGTTGCAATTCTATTGTGCGGCCATTCCAAATTCCTCAACATCCAGAATGAGCTTAATATATGTCTCGATGTTAATCATCGACTTAATATCGATGCTGACGTTCACATATTGTCTTCGCCACTATAAGAGAAGCTTGGATAACGGGTTAGCTCTTACAGCTTGTGCTTGAGCATGCAATGTCTGATGTTGCTAAAAAGTGAACGTGGATGGTAAAAGAATGATCAACAATGATGTTTTATTGAAACAAAAACGATTGGAAGCAGATTTTACGGACATACGTGCACGGTTACGGTGATGCTTCTTAATTCCTATGTTATTCTCGCATACGTCGATTTCCGCATTTGTTAAGATAACAGCTAACAGTGACAGCTCTGCTTGAAACCTTTACGAAGCTTCCGCTTGAACGGCGTTGAGATTGTGGTGCGCTTCAATTTCTGCTTGAACTGTAGATGACGCTAACCTGTTTATCTACTTTCTTCCCTTCTGCTCGAGATTTCTGTGGAGTCTTTGGCCATACCGTCATACCTTATCACCTGATAGACGGGCTCTGTCCCAGACAGCTCATTTAATTGCATCTTCTCTTGTGGTAAACGCTAATTTTTGAGTTTGATACGCATCCTCTCTTCTCGCTTGCATTAGATCCTGGACTTGTTTTGTACTCATCAAAGACACTAACAACCGAATTATTGCAACAACTGTTACTCTACAACATTCTTAGTACGGTTTGCGCTTCTTTCGACCAAATCAGCTTAGCTTCTGGCCGTTCAAATGTAATGAAAAATTCGTCAGAGTTGTTGACGTAAAGGAAAGTCCCATACCTTTACTCTTACCTTCAATCCTGGTAAGTTCGACCGCGGAAACTAATGTATCGACTGCAATTCCAGTCATGACTTACACTGAGTTCTAACCCAGGAGTGGTTCCCGGAATGGCGGGCGTCCGCTTTGCAACGGTTCGCCGCAATTCGCAGCTACAGTATACAAAATCTTCCCAAGAATCCAGGTTTATGACATGTCGTCCTCAATTTACAGTTGACAGAATTTCAGCCCTGTGAGCTCGCAAAGCACACACCGAAGAGAATTCGTGCAGAGTGCTTCTGCTTACACTGGGTTGGAGTACACGTAGCTTTTACTTCTTTTCATATGTTCCACCATGAGCTAAAGAATAACGAAGGATTGTTGTTTCAAACTTTCCTAACAGGTTAATGCCTGTTTTTAAAGATGCAGAAGCTCTTCTCAAATAATTCTATCAATGTTGTAAAACAAAAGAAGCTTACTGAATCTTAGAACAAAAACTTATATTTCAAGGAGGTTCCGTCTAGAACTACGTTATGAAATACAAGAAAATCTAAAAGTACTACGCATCCTTTTTCCTATTGCCATAACCCATTTTCTGGTGTTCGGCATCTTCATGCTAGGTAAGATCCGTATTATCACAAGAAGAATGCTAATGATTTATTAGCTTTAGGGAACGTCGTAGTACGAAGTTTCCGCGAAAAAATGCCTCTCAAGATTTTTGCTATATCAATGGCTTCAGTACATGTATGTATGCTTTTTTTGGATTGATTATTCATTCTGTTTCTTTGTAGATTATGCCATATTATTTCTTAATATTATCAACTTGGATCTATGTAGTTTTACGGCGGGAGTCACTAAAGATTTTGGAATTTCGACAAGCTATAGCTCGGCCCGAGCGCAACAAGGAGCGCGATGTATATTTTGACTCTCTAAAGAAACAGTGGTCTGCAATATCTTGATGATTCGCTCGATTGGGAAAGGCACAAGAAATTCTACCATATCCTAATTTCCATATTCAATCAACTGTACAAACTATTCTTCGACCCTTCAAACTCTGCAGTTTCAAAAGAGAGCCAATTTGCCCCTTCACCTATTCTTCATAGTCGTTTTTTCTACTCTATTTGGTTTTTTTTAGTTTTTATGTAAAAATACAAAATTTATCAACTCGTTACAGCGAAAAGATGCCGATGACATTGTTGCATCGTACTTGTGGTGTGACTTAAATCGGTGTCCAGATATCGTAGGAGTGCTAAACTATTTCTAGTCTTTGAATCAGGCATGCACGGCGTGTGAGCTACCTCTTCATTTTTGGTTCTTCGCTTGGCTGAGATTTTTTTTTGATTTCAAATACCGTTCTTGAAGGCGCAATGCCGCATGTATAATTTCCCTTACTTTGAAACAACATATTGATGATCTTGTCTCTTTAGTTTCAAAGAAAAGAAAAGAATAAACTGGATAAGGTGGTGAAGTAATGGTTTGTGCCAAAGAGATGTTGTGAGAGCAAAATCTCCTCAAAACTTTCAAAAACAGCATCAAGGCTTCTGTTCGTACCTTACTTAAAGGACCACCTACATTTTTGCAGAGTTTTGTGCAAGGATCCGAATGTGGTAGGTCTAAACGCAGTGGCATGCAAGCTGATGCAGTCGTCCTAGCCGGGTCTGGTTTGTTGACGAAAGTCTCAGCAACGAGTGCACCATCTGAGTTGCGGCTTGGGCGGTATCTTCGTTATACTCCAGTCAGTTTCCACTCGCGATCCTCATATATCCACATTCGTCCACAGCTGCCTTTATTTATAGACTAATGGATATAGGAGCAGCTGAGATTAGAAGCGCAAGCCTGTTGCAGATTACGATTGTGACTTTCTAGCTCTGAAGAAGGCCTAACAAGGGAACGATACTCTATGTCCGTGGCCTTTTGAGACGAGATGCATACCGTTACACTCATCTTCGAACGCTGATTCCGAATCTGACATCCGTTTCTGCTAATCGTTTCTCTGAAAGAAGTTATGGCGAATTTTGAGTCAAGTTTGGCAGCCCAAGGGAAATATGGTCATTGGAACGGCCTCTATTGTGGCCACGTTCTGGTCTAGTAAATAGTGCGATAGCCTCATAAGTTGAGGCAGGTGTAGGGTCAAATCTTTTTGTGTTTTTACCTTTGCACTGCCTCACTTGTTCAAGAAAATTCACTCTTATGATCATTGGATACATTTTAGCGCAAACAGTAATCATTTGTTCCAAATTTACACATTTTTTGAAGAGTAAGGGCGTTCACTTAGCTCGAGGATGCGAAAGAAGGTTAACTGAGGCAATGTAAAACTGAAAAACACAAAAATATTCGAACCTACACCCGCACCGCCTCATGAGCTTATCGCATCAACCGTTAGACCACAGCGCAACGTTAGCCTTCGCGCTCCGACCGTATTTCACTGGGTAGCCAAACTCCGCGCGATCCATCATAACATCTTTGAAGTGATTAGCAGAAACAGAAGTCAGATTCGGAATCAGCGTTCGAAGACGAGTGAAATGATATACATCTCATCTCAGAAGGCCACGGACACCGAGTATCGTTCCCTTGTAAGATGAGATGAGCAGCGTTGCTGAGGTCTAGATCCTCAATCTTGTATCGATCGTCTTTCTCGCTGGCTTTGTTTTTGCTGCATTTGATCCACTGACAACAAGAAAAGTGACTCACTTGGTGACCCACGCCTTGAACAAAAAACGATCTGAGATAAACTCACTCCAAGGGCTTACTTCACAGATTCAACAAACTTCGTTTTTTTTGATACTTTAATAGATATAGTTGCATAGTTATAGCTAAGTTCAAATGATCCGTAAAAAATATGGTCCCTGGAAACAGAGTAACTTCTTCATCTCGCGTTAGGTCTTGCCCCTAGTCCGTAATGGCCTCAACGGAATGCTAAAAACGTCCAAGCTTTCAAATACTTTTTTACGAGCTTTTTAGCTTTGGAAGCCAATGAGTTTAAACAGTAGCTAGAAATCTTGAGAATCTTTCTTGAAAATATCGAGAAGAGCACCAAGTGCTGCTGAGTGATTGTGATTCGTACAGTTCCAGTACAGCGCACAGTTTAAGCTCTATGCTGGAGCTGTCGTAACTTACGGAGTAGTAAAATAGTATCAAAAGTAGTAAAATTAGTAGTCACCCAGCCTTAGAAAGGACAGAAGTAGTTTACTGACTTAAGAAAGACAGTTGTTAGCATATCATGACTGAAGTAACATGTTGCAGGTGCCATCGTCGGATGTGAGTTTTTGTAATGGAGCAAAATCACTCAATTAACGTCTTAGTAATCAATCTTTCAAATCATTTTAAGTCTTTCATTGGAAAGATTCACTTCTGTCAAGTTTTTTAAAAATTGATTTGGTGTTTTGTTCGAAGAAGCTATTCACTATAGCTTCACCCATAGGTGCAACAAGGGGAGCAGAGTCCCTTCCAGGTGAAGGGGGTTTCGGCTATTTCCGACCTAGAAAAGTGAAGATAGTAGTTGATCCTTGAGGTGAATGCTGAAGTAAGTTACATTTCGAGCGGAACTACGGACCAAAAGAAGGGAAACTGGTGATACAAAAGGGTAACATGAAAAAATTCGCGATGCTAGGCTTTGAAAGGTCATCGGAACTGAGACTATTAATTCAGAAAAGCTTTATGTCCTATCAGTCGACATACCATTCGAAAGCTAGGAACATGTAGAATCGACGGAGATCCTCTCTTTCTTTCCGGACCCTCTTGTGAACTCACATATGAAAATTTTATCTAGCTGCAAGATCAGCTAATTTTATGCGAATATTTTGCGCTCCATTTCTGAAAGGAAGAGTAAAGCTAGAAAAACAAAGACGGCCTACATTTACTGGCGATGTCTTGCTCTGTAAGGATACGCATATTTTCATCTTGAATGCTATATATCTCTGAGTAAAGGGGCCTAGAAAAAATAGACGGCCTACGTTGAATCCTTGTTTCGTGAGCTTTCTAATAGTATATAGATTTTAAAAGAAACTAACAAGGAAAGGATACTTAGTCGAAAGCACCAATCCAGAAGAAACATATATCATCTTAAAGCGCTTGAAACGCTGATTTCAAATCTGCAGTTTCTAGCTGCGGAGCGGTTTTGTAGAAGGAGTTATGAAGGGTGCTCCGCTCTGGGATTTAGGCGTCCTCCAGCGGTCTCCCCTTATCTGTAAGCACTGTAGAGGAGTATCAGCTGATGGCAACTGACCTAATGGTAAGTAACTTGAATGAAGATTACAGTAAAGATTGTAATACTCATATTACTCTAGTTTTTTTTAACACTTCTAACTTCGATTAGTATCCATATCATCAGAAGTTTCATGCTTTAGGGCTCTAAAGCCATTTAGAAGTTTAATTTAGCATGCGAAGATGATTAAAACCTTGACACTCTCTTTATCAAGCACGTCACTTACCACTAGGTCAGTTGCCACAATTGGTACTCCTCTACAGTGCTCATAGGTAGGGGGAGACCTGGTGGAGGGCGCCTCAACCTCAGAGAAAACACCCCTCATAACTCCCTCTACAAAACCGCTCCGCAGCTAGAAACTGCAGATTTAGAATCAGCGTTTCAAGCGCTCTAAGATGGTATATGCCTCATCTGGATTGGTGGTTTCGACTAAGTATCCTCTCCTTGTAAGAAACTTGTGGTTCTCAAAAATGGGGAGATACGAACATGCCCAGGTTTTATGAAAACGGAACTTGGAAGGGGTG